AAATTACACATCAGGACACTCACAATCTTTGTGAACAGTACAGTTGTAGAGATTTCTCAGATCCCACTTTCTAAATGGAGCAACATCTGAAGGATGACTTGAACATCTGATAAACAGGCAAACTCCTGCACATGCTTCAGAACCCTGATGACATGTCATCTATCCCGTAGAGCTGCTTTCCTGGTCCAAATCAGCCGAGCAGCCCACCTTCTTATTGCTCCTCTGGCTCTTAGATTTGCAGCCTGTATTTTCTCACTTCCTGGTTGTTCTTCTCTACTAGGTTATGGCTCCCAATCAGCTTTCCTCTTCATTTGCTGGTCCCAGTGCCAGGAACATTGAAGGAACAGGTATCAGATATCGTGAAGATGATGAGTTTCCCGCTTGAAATGCAGAGCAAGACGTCTCTCTGCAAATTGTTGGGAAACTTGGGAAGCCCTGTCTGATGGGATTTCTTTGGAGGGCTCTGCCTGTATGCTGGGACAGCTGCAAGCTGGTCTGTAGGACCAGTATCTGTGTTGGCTTCCACAAGATAAGGGGCTGTCAACACAAGTGGAATAATCAGGAGGAACTGGTGGGAAAGTAGCATTGGCCTCAGAGATTTCCAGCGTGATTAGATAAGGGAGTATGTAATTGGAAATGTGCTGGCAGGGAGACATGCTTTGAAGTTCCAGGCTGATTATGTTAGGGAATAGGTCCAGTATTTGGGTTGCAAGAGCCTCCCTGATCAGCAAAGAGCACCTGCTCTGTGGGAGAGCAGAGAGCCTGGGTCTTTGTCTAGAGGTGTCACTGAGAAACCCCTTGCCCAAGCTCCTAGTGGGCAACATTTGCATCAAGAGATGCACAGATGTGAGCCAGGACCGACCTCTGACTTGCAGAGCCTGAGCTCAGAGAGTGAAGGGGCAGCCAATTGCAGGTGGCATTTGGTGTCTTCTCTCTAGAATGCACGCTCAAGAGGGCCATGGGTACTTCAGCTCAGTTACAGAAAGCATGCTCTGTAGCTTGGAGGAAGCCAAGTGCCCCTATCCCCCAGGAGGGCAGTGCAGTTACTTTGGAAATTACTGAATTTAAGTGCTTCTGACAGAGAGCAGGCACCCTGCTTTGCTGGGAGAACTTGCACCTTCTGAGGGCTCCCTGTCAGTCTCCCACTGTTCCAACCTCAGCTCCGTGAAGAGATGGGAAGTTATCCATCTCTATTTGACGGCACATAGCTCTTACTTTATTTGTTGAAGAAGGAGTCTTGTCTTGAAAAATCAGGTTGGATCAAGTCCAAAGCTCCCCAAAAGACCTGGCTTAAGCCCTCTTTCCTCTTACAAAGGGGTCATGGTCTACACAGAGGAGGGCTAGCAGGGCTCCTCAGAAGATCCAGGGCAGTCCCTGTGTGTGTTTTGCCACCACTCATGGCCACCTCCAAGACACCCATTTTTGGGCACAGGGACAGACCCCCAAGGGAGCAAGCTGAGCCTGGAGTGTGCGATCTGGGTGGAAGCAGCCAGGGACGGCCACTTGTCACCAGCATGCCCGACAGCTCGCCTGTTCCTCTGATATCACTGTGACTGCAGAGAGCTTAGCTGAACTGCCCTGCTTGGAAGCCATCAGGCCTTGGCAAAACACGAAACACGTTTTCCAGGCACTTCTTGTTTTCCCAGCACTGACTATACTCGGAGTGAAATGGAATCCATCTGTCTGAAGTGCTTTTGCTGAATTCTATGCAGCATGATTTTCTGTAAGAGTGTCTGAAGGCCTGAAGGTTTTGATCTTTTGTCTTGGAAGGAGGGCACCACATTTTGCTGCAAGACAGTGTAAATTGAAACCTAAAGCAGGCGTGTCTGGTGTGGTTCTCTGTGAGGCGTATGGATACAGGGCGGCAGGGATGGCCTTCCTGTCCCTTTGCTAAAGTTGTTCTCTGGGAGTGAGGAAGTGGACTGTCCCCTGGGCTATGCAAGGTGAGACCAGGGCAGTCTTTCCCCCCGTATAAAGAGGTTCTGAGCAATTGGAGCCGGAGAGTAGGTAACAGAGCCTAGCTACTGAAGCTAATGAAGTTCAGGTCCGTAAGAACTGGAGCTGCCCATCCATCAGAGACTCTCGAGGGTCTTTTTGCTGTCACTGTGAGTGCTGTCCTTCAAAGGTCCCATCTCACCAGTTAAGATAAAAAAAAAAAAAAGATTATTAGTCTTTTTTTTTTTTTAACGTTAGAAACTATGGGATAATGTTGGTGCTGGGGATGTAGCTCGGTGGTAAAGCACCTGCTAGCATGCACAAGGCCCAGGGGTTCCATCCCCAGCTTCAAAAATACAAGAGAAAGAAAAATCACTCATCGTCCTACTGATCAGCATTCACCACTACAAGCGTTGAGGTATTCCTTTACGAGGTTTCTCCTTCTGTCTCTTTAAAGCAAATTGAGATCATAGTAGTTTATGAATAGAGCCTTTTCAAGGACCGTGACAGAACAGTCATCTTGCTGGCCCCTGGACAGTCTTCCTAGGCATCAGATTCTGGGACTGCCCAGTATTCTATTATATGGCTGGTCTCCAGTTTTCCTACCCATTCTTGGGCAGTTGCTGTGTTCCTAGATTGTCACACAGTGAACAGCATCTTTGGGCACAAAGCTTAGATGGATTCCTAGACATTTCTTCCAATTGTTGAGACTTTGTATGTGAAGGTGTTACCAAGACCCATCTATAAAGCATGGATGTCACAAAAGATGGCAGGCAGAGAGGTGAGGTCAGGTGACAACATTTGCTGCGTCTCTGCCACATTCAGGACATACTGTTAGGACTGTGAGCATAGGAAAGACTTCATGAATGACAGACCCAGTCTTTATCCTTGAGGACCCTGCTGGATAGTTTGAAACCACAATATGTAACAATAGTCCAAGGAGAGGGGTTCCTGTATTCATGGGAATCCCGGCACAAATTTCAGGATGAAGCAGAATTTGTGTGATCCTCTTGCATTTTCTGGAACTTTCAGCAGAATCATTTCATCTATAGAGTGGCCAATAATTACCCATTCAGTGATTGTTTGGAGTGAGTGTTTAGAGGAAGGTGAATGTTTTCCTCTACTTATCCTTTTCTCCTTTTGTTATTTTATAGTTTTTTATAATAGAAAAAGTAAACTTCTTTGAGTGTCATTCATATGATCATTAAACTAAGGAGATGGCAGTCAGGTACTGTTCTGGGTGTAGCAGAGGCCATAGCCTACACCCAACAGGTGTGAGGCAGGGATGGCAGAATTTTTACCTGCGCCTTCAGTGACCTACCAACCTGTTTACATATAACTGGCAACATGAACTTAATGCCTACAAGATCATATTTGCTGGGAACATTCTGTCATGCAGGTACATGGCACTTCCAGTGATACAGTCACTGCCAGTGCTTCAGTCTGCACCTGGCTGCTAGGAGTTAAAAGGGTATTTGGTCACTCTGCAGGCTCCAGACTTCCACTTGGGGCCAGAACTAGGTGTGCATGTGGAAGTTGGTGACTATCGTTTGTATGTCTTTTCTCCCCTTTGCCCCATCACTTCTGCTGTTCAGCTGATTCTTCCTTGGAGAAAATGAGAGTGCCAAGTGCCAGTCTACAGCCTTGTCGTGGCGCCCCCTACTGGTCAGGCATCTGTAATTGCAGACTTGGGCAAAACCCCATCTCAGCTCAACTTGTTTCAAGAGCTTATCAATTTTTGTCAATCAAATGTTCAGTTAGGACCTGGGGATGTGTCTCATTACCCCCAGTTTCTTTGGGGCCCTTCCCTCATCTGTGGCTGGAGTGCCTGGGTCTCCAAGTGAAGGTCTAATGAGGGCACCACAGAGAACTTGACCCGGTCCCCGCCCCCCACGTCCTCTCACCTGGCATCCGTCTTATCTGGCTTGCTAGCACCTGTACAGTTTTCTGTTGTTGTTCCAGTTGGCTGTTTCCCCAGGCTAGTAGGGTTGTTTTTCTTCTTCCCTGACTCTGCTTCTGCAGAATAAATCCCTTTCTCATTCCTTGTCACTCTGCTTTCCTTTGATCCTTTGTTTTCTCCAGATCCAGAACCACTTAGTCTCCTAAAGGGCTCATCTTGCAGCTCCGTGTAATTTATAAACCCACGATAGACATCACACAAGACTAATTCTTATTTGGCCAGCACTCTGCTGGCCAAAAGCAACAAACTCCACCCTGAGGCAGATGCGGGTGGGGAAGGAACCAGGCACTGCCCACCCCAGATATAATGAATATGTGTTCTTTATGGGACTAGAAAAACACTAAACAAACATCCGTGATTAGGGCCAGTCTTAATCCAGAATGCAAAATAAACAAGATAACATTCCAGATACCATCCTGGGGGACTTGGGGGAGGGAGGGGGAGACAGTACCCAAAGCTTACACCTTCACAGGGTGTCAATCACATTCCCTGGGCTAGGGTTTGCTTATATCCTGTTTCTATCCAGATTATATTCTATGTAGGATTTTTAAATTAATAGATCTTCAGTAAAAGTTATTGTAAAGCATTTCATAGTTTAGCAAAATATTTTGTATATGTATTAATACAACCATAATTTATATGTAAATATTAAAATATAAATTAATATATTTTATACATGTAAAATGAATATAGATTTATATAAATATTAGAGCATTTTATGCCAGACATTTAAAATATTTCTAAAAATACAGGCTATATAAATACATTAAAGTAAAACTTACTATTTAAGTCAATACCATGGCTTTATATTAAAATTAAATACCTTAACTTATTTAAAATAATATTGAAACTCTGTCTCAAAGAGCTGGGGATGTGGCTCAGTGGTAAAGTGTCCCAGGGTTCAATCCCTAATACTCCCCAAATTAATATTGAAATATGTAGGATGTATTTTTTATATAAATGAAAGGTGTTAGAAAATATTTTTAAAAAATAACCTGGCAGGGGGCGCTCTGCTGAGGTGTGGTTCCCGCCCCGGCGGCCACAGCGCCCCCTACCGCTCACTCCACCGTGAACACTGACCCGCTGTTCTTGCTCCCGCCCGCAGGCATCGGCAAGAACGTCATCTGTGACCGCACAGCCACACCGCTGGATGCCTTCCGCATGATGTCAGCAGCACATTACTACCCCAAGCTCATGAGCATCATGGGCAACGTGCTGCGCTTCCTGCCGGCCTTCGTGCGCATGAAGCAGCTGATCGAGGAGGGCTACGTGGGCGAGCTGCTGGTGTGCGAGGTGCAGGTGCACAGCGGCAGCCTGCTGGGCAAGAAGTACAACTGGAGCTGCGACGACCTGATGGGCGGCGGCGGCCTGCACTCGGTGGGCACCTACATCATTGACCTGCTCACCTTCCTCACCGGCCAGAAAGCCGTCAAGGTCCACGGGCTGCTCAAGACCTTTGTCAAGCAGACAGACCACATCAAGGGCATCCGCCAGATCACCAGTGACGACTTCTGCACCTTCCAGATGGTGCTGGAGGGCGGGGTGTGCTGCACCGTCACCCTCAACTTCAATGTGCCCGGCGAGTTCAAGCAGGATGTGACTGTGGTGGGCTCGGCCGGGCGCCTGCTGGCGGTGGGCACCGACCTGTACGGGCAGCGCAACAGTGCCCCCGAGCAGGAGCTGCTGCTGCAGGATGCCACGCCCGTGAGCAACTCCCTGCTGCCCGAGAAGGCCTTCAGCGACATCCCCTCGCCCTACCTTCGTGGCACCATGAAGATGATGCAGGCCGTGCGCCAGGCCTTCCAGGACCAGGACGACCGGCGCACGTGGGACGGGCGGCCTCTCACCATGGCCGCCACCTTCGACGACTGCCTGTACGCGCTGTGTGTGGTGGACACCATCAAGAGGTCCAGCCAGACCGGCGAGTGGCAGAACATTGCCATCATGACGGAGGAGCCTGAGCTGAGTCCCGCCTACCTGATCAGCGAGGCCATGCGCCGCAGCCGGATGTCCCTTTACTGTTAGCACAGACTAAGGACCTGCAGGACTTCGACCTTCTGTGCGGGGCCCAGAGAAGGGGAAACACATAAGGGTGAGAGGGTGGTGGTCATGGGGATCGTGGGAGTTGGGGACAGAACACTAGTAGATGGTATCTGAGAAGGTGAGCCCCAGCCCAGGTAAGGGCCCCCAATAAAGAGTGTCGGTGGGCTGAGCTCACAGCCAGGGCGTAGGCAGAAGAGCCTGCCGTCCTCCACACGTCTTTTGCCAGGTTTTGCATGAGTGGGAAGAAGGCTCGCTGCCTCTGCTGCCCTTTACTGAGAAGCTAGGAGGGGTTGCTTCCCTCCCTACCTCATCCACCCCCACACCTTGGCCTCCTTTGCAAGCCAAATGGCCCTGCATCAGGGGGCAAGGCCATGGGAGCCAGGCTCCCGCCACACCTGCCACTGGCAGGAGATGGCACATCATCTCATGTCCTCATAAGCCTATCAGTCTAGGGAGAGATGGAAGTGGGTTGGGTAGGTGAGGCCACTTTTTAGTCTACTTGAAGTGTCTGAAGGGAAACTCCTTAGAAGCAAAGGGTTTAGCTTCCTTGATTGATCTTCCTCATGGGGAGCCCTAGGGCATGTCTGGTTCCTTATCCTTCTCCCTGTGGGGTAAGGAAGCATTGTCCCTTGGCTGATGTTGGAAAGATCAGGAATGGCAGCAGAGAGCAGGGTTCCCTTAAGCTGAAAGGGGTGAGCAAGAACACACACTGCACGGGAACAGGTGAGGCAGAGAGTAAACCCTCCCTCTGAGCTTGTCAACAATGCAAAAACTGATTTATAACCTTTCCAGGAATGGCGGAATGAGTGAGAGCCATTCACACAACGCCGCACCAAGTGTGGGTCTGACTGCAAGTTCCCACGCTGCCCTGGGTCAGCCACTGTGCCCCAGGGTTGCAGTGTGAGTCCCCAAACAGGGAAAATGAGCATAGCCCTGGAGTTGCTTTGGGCTCCAACACCAAGCTGGGCTTCCCAGCTTGGTAGATTGAAAAGGGAAGCCTTCAGTTCCACTCAGAATTCTCTTAAGATGAGAAGACAAGGCTCTTTCCCTTAGCTTTGGCTTCTAGAATTCTGACACCTGAAAACTACTGAATATCTATCAAAAAAGATAACAAGGAACATGATTTTCAGTGTTTCTAAAATGGGGGTTTGGAGGCCTCGGAGGGCTGTATGTCAGGGCGGATCAGGCTGAAGGTGGAAAATCTTCTACTTGCCCCCTGGCTCTCTTGTATTTTCACCCACTTTTCCAGCTTCCATTAGCGACAGCCAACTGCAAGCTCAAGAGTGGGCAGTGCCAAAAGGGAACGGCTAGTCGCATGGGCCCATATACTCATTTGTAAATACTTACCATCATCAAATGTCCCCCAAATCAGTTTTTTAAAATTCAGGTCTGACCTTGAAAGAAAGACCAAGTCAAGTACATTTTGAAATGTGGAATTATTGTTGTCTTTGCTAACTTTTCACACACACCCCCATCCCATAATACATTTGTGAGGCTGGGTGTGGGGACTAGTCCTCGTAAGTCTACGTAGCTTTTGTTCACAGATTTCTGAAGTCAAACAGGTGTCTTTGGCGTACAGCTGGGGTGTAGACTTCCTTTTGGATAACCAGCAATAGAACTAGAAGGGAATTAAAGGCCCTGGAGGCCACTCCCAGCCTCTAAATGGGCAACATTTGAAAAGGAACAGTCCCAATAGAGGTGTCCTCCGTCCTCCTCCCTGGAGTCGATACACTTCAAAGCCCCCAGGCTGCTCCTACACACAGGAATAGTCCTGGATGTATCTAAGCACCAGGGAAATGTTCATCTTCTAGGACAAAAGAATAAATCTTGCTTTTCTTGGAAGAATCACCCTGTTCCCTGGGCCCCTACTGCAACATGGTGGGGTTTGTTAGCAGAAATTCCATGACATGGTTATGTTCCCTGATAGGTTGACACACTTCAAAATTGGGAGATGTGGTGGATGAAAAGTGTCCCAGTGCTAGTTGGAGCAAAGGGCCCCATTTCTGGACTATTTGGGTTTCTGTTCTAAATTGCCCTTTGGAGAAGTAGTTTTTGTGAAAACTGTAGAAAGAATTATTTTTTTCCTAGCTTGCCTGAAAGGCTGTGATTAAGGATGAAGGGAAATAAAACTAGGTGACTCCACAGGTTTCATTTTTCTACATCATTTGTAGTCTAAGTAGATGTTCTTTGAGTTTCCATTTTGTGTTTCTGTACTTAACCATAACACTGTAGAGATTCCCCCTACCCCACGCAAAGGCCTCTGAGCTCTGTAATATACAAAAATTCTTGTTTGAGGCCAGGGGATATAAAAGGCATATACTTTAAAAGAAGCATGAAAAATACTTTTAGTAAGTATACTCAAATTTTATCTACTGAAATGCATGTAGTAGGTTGATACAGAAACGAGGAAGAAAAGACCTAGGTAGCTCATATTTTAGTACAAAAATGACAGCAAATGAGTTTAGGATACTTTAGTGTTCCTTCTGCACTTGTCCTACCACATGCAAAGACTGGTAAGCAGCAAGGTGAGACTGAAATTCCTGAAGACTTTGTTTCAGCTTGGCACCCTCAGGGGTCTGGGTACCATCTGCTGACTTTGATCTAGGACTAATTCCCAGTAATAACCCAGCACATTTCTTTAATGTGTTTCAAGGGCCTGCTGTAATGGAGGCAACCCTTTAAGGTCTTCACGTTCAGTTTCCCTTTGACTGTCTGGTACCTTTCGTTGTGTAGATGCCTCTACAAAAGTCCTAAATTCCAAATTCTCAGAGAAGATGTAGGTCAGGGTTCTGTTCAGGCAGGCACAGTGTTAAGGGAATGCCCTGGGCTTATTTGGAAACTTTGGAGGCTGGGATCACTGTTTCTCCAAGACTTCTCCCCTTGCTGGGAGGATTGCATCGTGGGGCACCTCAGATCTAGTGTGGCCTACCTGGCAGCAGATACAGTATGCACAGCATCTCATTCAGTCCATAAGAACAGCCCTACTGGGTGTTATCATCCCTTTTGACACACTAGAAAGCAACTGTCCAAAAACCAGCCAGGAGGCAGAAGTGAACTCACTGGAATTTACCACCTTTTTCTCCAAACCCAGTTCTGTTTCTGCCCTTCAAGCCCTGGAGAGGGGCTGCCCTCCCCCTGTGCTGAGTGGACTCCAGTGAGACCTGGAGTCCACTTCTCTGCTGAGACTCCCTCCTGTCGAGCAGGATTCAACATTTGGTGTTTTGCCAGAAAGTTCGTTATTAGAGCTGCAAATAGAAATGATCAATTTTTCTTTTCCTCCCCAAATGGAAATAGCACTCAACTTCCTTTAAAACGAACTTCCTAATTTTATCTTTGGTTGTAGTACAAAAAAATGTACAAAAACTTAGAAAACCACAGAGTTGGAGATTTTCAAAACATTGTTGGCTGACTATCAGAGATGGCCTTAGATTTTGCTTTGGGGGGCATGAGTATAATATAGGAAAATATCTTTTCTCAGGGAGTGGGGCTTTCAGGGTTGATTTCTTGTGACTGGGATTAGAGCCGTGCATTTGTACATTTGTATTTTTTACTCTCTACATCTTGTCTTATAGTTGCAGCTCTTGGATTTGACCTGTGATTATAGATGGGGCTTCTGATCTGATCTCTTTTCTTTTGATGAGCATAGGAGGAAATCAGCTTTGCTGATGACATCCTGGGGACATAGTAAATCCAGTTCATGTGAAGGGACTTCAACATCTAATACATTTAGTCCCTCATCTTGTATCCCAGAGAGGGTAAATGGTGGCTAACGTCACCCCAGCCCAGTTTCCTGACTCTGAGTCTCACCCTGCCTCACACAGCACCCTCAGAGATTTGGATGGGGAATGGTGGCTAAGGGAGGGGCAGTGACTGGTCTGAGGTTCCCTATTTGGTAGAGAGGTTGGGACTGCATTGCACTATATTCCCTGAGCTCTTACAGGTACATTCACTTTTCATGAACTCAGTTATATCTCAAATATACTCAGAAAACTAGCTTTTAAAAATTTTCCATTGTAATTGTAATGTGAGTAATCTCTAATTGGCGTTTTCTTTGGCAAGGATAGGGGACATTCATTCAGATTTTCACCTTTGGGATTTCCTGAGGCTCGCTCGGACTAGCTCAGGATTTTTTCTCCACTCAGTGCCTGTAAAGCCCTGGAGTTGACAGGGCAGAAGTCATGACATTGAGTAGCTTGTGGAGTGAGGGGGGATCAACTATCAGAACTCCACATTTCAATTCCTTTTTGGGGAGAGGAAGGAGGGTGATGAAAGATAAGTCTCATGTATTTGCATTGTGAGCCCAGAGTCTCCACCAGTGGGGACAGTCCAGATGGACTGGGGTTTCTGGAACTTCTCTACAGAGGAATTGAGACCTCCCGTGCTTCTCTAAGTAAATGATGGGTTTGGTGTTCCCATTGGAATCTGGCTGTAAAGTCAGTGCCATAGCTGAGTGAGCACGATCATATCAGTTAAGAGCGGAAAGTAGTAGCCTGCTGACATTTTCCTCTCCAGTGTCCCCATGCTTATCTGCTAGAGCCCTTGAGGCAGGCCAAAGAGGCTGGCTCTCCTTCAGGCTCCTAAGGTGTTGCATTATTGAAAACTCTGGAATCTGCTACAGTCCTCTCTGTTTCCACCAGCAGTGAATAGAATAACAAAAAGAACCTGCTGAATGCAATGGCCTGATGCTTTGTGCAGCAATCCAAGCTCACCTGGGCAGGTATTGGCAGGAAGTACACAGAGCCATGGAGTCTTGACGTCTCTTGTCTCTCCCCTTCTCTGTCCAGTTCTTGCTGTCCTCTGCAGCCACCTCAAGGGCTAAATCATTGAATGAGTCCCTTAGTTCCTCCTTATAAACGCAGTGATTTATTTGTGATGCTGAGTCTAATCCCAGGTTAAGAAACAAAGGCTTGTGATCTGACCTGCTCCTTGTTCTGCCCTTTGCCTTGTCCAGGGGTGGGAGAAGTTTCTAGCAATTTTGACTCTCTGTTTGCTGCCTGGTGCTTTTCATTTGTTTTGTGTGTATGTGTTTTGTTTTTTTTTAAACCAAAATTGCATTGGTTGGGTCGTCGTTGTCAAGTATGTATTTATTGTGTTTTACAAACATGAGTATATATGTATGTATGTGTATAAAAGCAAACTTATATATAAAAAGTCAAGGCATGTATACTAGATATTTTAAAGAGTTATTTATCAAGGGGAAAAGATGTGTGTTATAAACAGAGTCTATATTTTATATATAATGTAGATAGCAAAAATAGCTTATAAATTATAGAAGGTTTTGGTTTTTCTTTTTTATTATTAAAGCAAAAAAATAAAAAGAAAAGGACAATGAATGCAACTGTTCCTAGTGTTTTAAAAGACAAACTACTGTGGGAGTTGGGAGCCAGTCTTCCCTGCTGGGCCTGCCAGCAGGTTTGGCGACCATTACCCTGGCCCACCCAGCAGATCCCCGTTACTGCTTACAAGACGCTGGGGCCAGGGGGTCACATCCCTCTGCCTGCTCGCCTGTGTGGCTCCAAATGCGGCCCCTCGCTCTTCTCCACAATTTGCATTGGTGGGATAAAGAAAACAAGTGGCAAATAAAGATTTAAAAGCAGCAGCAGTTCCAGTTCTTTCTCATTTTCTCAGCTCAGGTGCTCCTAATTTAGGTACCTGCAGGATTTGTGGGATGTGAAGCGTGAATGGGTATGTTAGAGGGGTGTGTGTGCTGGAGGCAGCTCTCGTGTGTCAGCACCCAGGAAGCTGAGTCAGGGGTCAACTCACCTTCCACTTTTGATCGGAATCATTGAATCTGAGAGTGGGAGGCACTTCACAGCCAGCTGCTTCAAACCCTCACTTTGGAAAAGTGGAAATGGAGAGGAGAGAAGCTCCCTAGAGCCTCTTGGGGTGTGTGTGTGTGTGTGTGTGTGTGTGTGTACATGCGTGTATGTGTTCATGCGTTTGTCAAAAACTAGACCAGGGAGGAGGGTGGCGATGCAGTTTTAGATTGGGAGAATAAATTTGAAATTTGCTTGTCATCTTAATATTACACCCTAAGTTCCCACAACCAAGCTCTGAAGACACTTACGACAGGTTCACTCGATTGTGTAAGAGAGTATCTTTGCTTACTTTTATATCAGTGTTCAAGGACAGCCATTGTGGACCTAATTTGAAGCTTGCATATATGGGTTCCCCACAGATGGGCGGCCCCTTCCTCTCCACACTCTGCTGAGTCTTACAGAATATGTACAGTGCTGCTTCTGGTCCATGTTTTCCTTTTATATAAACAGATAATTAACCATCACAAGGCCTGAAATCTCATTATTCTCTCCTTCATAAGCAGGCTGAACCTATTCAGAACTCAGTCTAACTGTTAAGATAATAAGATTGCTGCAAACCTCTGCATCCACAGAGATCACAAAGTTTGAGAATGTTCCATGCTGTGCGCAATCAGCAGGGACTCTCATAATGGTTCTGCTTAGGGCAGTGAGGACAAACGCTGTGTCACAGCTGAAGGCACCGTCTGCCCTGATGTGAAGAACCGCTGAGACGGGGTCTAAGGTCCAGTCTCTCTGTATCTTCCATCAGAGTGAAGAACCAACCAACCTTCAATAGGCCTCATATCTCCTGAGCATTTATGTAAGTGTTCTCCATGATGTCGATTCCTCCCAGTTAAGGTCTATTTCCTGCTTTATAAACCAGAGAATATACAGTTGACACTCTAATCTGAATATCAGAAACCCCAAATACTCTGAAATCTGATTTTTTTTAGTAGAAACATCATGCTCAAAACATCTCAGATTTTGTTTATTTTTGGATTTGCAAATGAGGGATGCTTAACCATTTGCAAATATTCCAAAACCTAAAAAAAGTTTGAAACCTAAAAAACACTGGGTCCCAAGCATCTTGTATAAGGACTACTCAACTGGCCTTGCCTCCTACTACATTGCAAAATATGATGAGCACAGCTTTCACTATCTCCAAACTGTTGCCGGAAATGAACAGTCAGATGCCCAGCATCACGGTGTCCTTTGCTGGTCAAAGGAGAACTCTGCGTGTCCTCTCCTGTCTATCCACCCACCACCTAGAAACACAACCATTCTCCTGTTTCACTGCCTGCTGCTTTTATCTCATGTATTTTTTAGCACTGTTGTGATAAGGCTGGGTGATTCAGTTTGAAAAATAAACTGACTCCCATGATTGCTATGAGAATGAATTACATATGTGCAAAGTCTGCAGAAATCTGTATAGAAATGAAAACACAAAGCTCACCTCACCTTAAGTAGGGGGTCCCATTTAATGGGCCCACAGTCACCTTTTTCTTTGCTAAGATCCCTCTGCCCGGATCTCCCCTTAGGCTTTGCCCCAACTCTTGCTGGAAGGTTGTCCAACAAGTCTAGACAACAGAGATGAAAAACAGGCATCACTGCAAACGGTTGGTGCCAAGTCACAATCAGAGAGACAGTGTTGCAGCTTACTTGATCCCAAACTACAAAACAAAAATACTGCTGCAAGTTAAAACCATTCAAAATCCTTTGCCTCATTCATTCAGTCAGGCTTCCTTTTGAATCTTATCTCTGAGTCTCCATCTGCTGGGTAAAGACTCGCTATGTCAGCTTCTGTAGCACTGCTGAGGTCTGACCACAGCTCTGCCAGACAAACCCCACCATAGCTAACCTAGTTGTTAGGCTTCCTCTAAAATGTCACACTAAGCACAGAAATACCTTTCCTAATTTTATGCAAGTTTTGATACCCTTGGGTCAAACCAAACTCTTTCCCTTCAGCCATGTGTGAAAGTGAAAAATTAAATAACTTTTTTGGAGCTTTTCTTGGGCAGTTATATTGTCCCTTAATATCTGTGAGGGGACTGATTCCAGGTCTCCTCAGGGATACCAAAATCCATGGATTCTGAAGTCCCTTCTATAAATGGCGTAACATTTGCCTATGACCTATGCATAGCCTGTATACTTTAAATAATCTCATAATTACTTATAATACCCCAGACAATGTAAATGCCATGTAAACAGTTGTTATTTTATATTGGTTAGGAAATAATGAAAGGAAAAAAGTTTAGATGTTTCATAGCTATGTGATTTGGAGGGTGGGTATTTTCGATCCATGGTTGGTTGAATCTGCAGCCAACCAACCTACAGATGTGGAGGACCAACTGTATAGCTTAACTCATTCCTTGGTCATAGATAGGGTTCAGTCCTAGCATTACAATCTGAAATGCACTGTATGTGCGCCCTGTTGTCTCCAACCCATTTGTCAAGTGCCCCAGGAGGGAGGAGCTGTGAGAAGGCCTCACGTGGCTACAGCAACTGTGCAGACCACATGCACTGCTCATAGGTCAGGCTTGCTTCAGAACCCTTCTCCCCAAGTCCCTGACTCTCTCTTAGGCAAACGTAAGGTGTCTCAAACAGGACTAAATCAGACGGAGGCTCTTTGAGTCTCCTTTGGAAACGGGTGAACCACTCCAGACTTCTCACAAGCAAAAACCAAGCAGACACAATGGCAACTGAAACCCAGGGAAGGCAGAATTAGGGCCCACTGTGTCTTCCGAGGCAGCTCCTCAAGGTGCGGCTGTGGGAATCTGAGCGTGAAGTTCAGGTTTCCGCCACGAAGCAGAAAACAGAACTAACCCCGTGAGAGCAGCTGTGGATGAATCCAGCTGTGGAGTGCTAGAATCATACAGATCATGGAGAAGTAGGAGGGAGATAAGAAGATGCCTAGAGGAAAAAAAGGGAAGGAGCTGGTGGTACTGTGCAGCCAGGGGAGGAGAGCGCGGCAGGCAGAGGCTAGCTCAAGCCACCGGTAAAAAGAGATTAAAGGGAATGAACAGAGGAAGACCACAGAGCTGTGAATCTAAGATACGGAGGTTGTGGAGATCAGTACACTTGGCACAAGATTCTGAAATCTGCTTCCTCTGTGGCTGGCAGGCCTGCAACTCTGCTCCAGGAACAGCTTGTCTGAGGAGGAGGATGGCAGATAAGAAGGAACGAGGGAGGAATTCTGACAGGAGCCACCACACTGTTGGCTGGGACGTTTCCAGGGTGTCACACTGTGTTAAGACCCCCAGTGACCCTGCGTCCCCACCCCCTTTCATGTTCCTTTTCCTACTTGCAAATCCCCCAAACCTGACATCTTCATGGATTCAACATCTGCCATTTCTCCCAGGCTGCTCGTCCCCCTGGACACCCTCTCCACTCAGTAGTTTTCCACTTGATGGGCACCCCCAACGCCTCTGGGGCCTTCACACAACCTCCCCTCTACGCTGTTACTGTGATCTGCTTTCTCCTCAGCAGCACAGCAGGCCTGGCCGGCAGAAGTGGGAGCTCATCAGCCCCACCTAGGCCCAGGTCTCTGCTGCCTTGGACTCGCTGACTCAGTCCCCAGATCCACCCTAGGTCCTCTGCCTCCCTGGCTTTTCTGTGATGTGCAGGTTTCTCCCCTCCCTGAAAACAACCACCTCTTCTTTCATCCATCCATGCGTCCAGTCTGAAGCCATTCAAGAAAAGCCTTCTTCCCTGTTCCATCACCTGATGTATGTGAATCCACCCTCTTCCCTATCCTCGAGGAGGGAAACCAAGGCAGAGGCATCCCTTCTCCTGATGCTGGATCTTGCTCCTTCCCAGCCTGCTCTCCTGTCCCACCTTGCTCTCGCTCTGTTACCTGCCCCTTCCCTCCATCCTTCAGTGAGACCGATGATTCCTGGCCTGGCGTATGAATTCAGGAGTCTCTGAAGTTAGAGGGGGAAAACGAATTTTGATTTTCACTAACACTAATGAAATTTAGTGTTTCCTTTCAGTATTACGAAAAAAAAAAAAAGAATCACAAGAAGACACTATCTGTGATTTTATCACCAACAGAACTCATACATATTTTCATATTTCATTATTGGTTTTGAGATTTCTTAAAATATCAGTTACTTTCATCACTTCTCTGAAATTATGGAAATCGCTAGAGTAGAACGAGATTTTATCACTTAATATTTCAATAAACAACTCATATTGCTCTACCAACAATTTCCTTTTGAATTTGTGTAACTGTGTGGCAATATAACTTGATACCAATAATATGCATATTATTTTACACATTTAAAAACTTTTTCTGGGAGAGAGGGAAGTCATTATTCCTAGTCACTAATCTCACCAGATTATAGGTAAATATGGCACCAAAAATAGTTCAGACCCCAAATTTGGCAGAAATGGCCTTTGCCTAATCCTTATTCCAGACTATACAGTTTCCAATGTTTACTAAATATGATTTGAATAATGACATAATTAGTTTAAAATAAATATTCTGACATACAAAGAACTCTCTGATCATTTAAGCCCACAAACATCTTCTATGGGTAGATCTTGTTCAAAAAGGTGTATATCATAATCAAAAAGGACTATCTTAATACAGGCAGGTCTGGGTACTAAACCACACAGTCTGAATCAATATTCAGGTAGAAACTGGATTCCAAATCCCAACTCTAATTACTACCACCCAGTAAGCACACCAAATAAAATGATTAAATGAGTAGAAAAATTTAAAGTTCAAACAACACAGAAATCTGTTAACCTAAACGGTGCAAAAAAGTATACAATAAAAGTTAAAATCCCTTCCATC